AAAAAAAATGACTCTTGTCTCAGAAAATAAATAATAAAATATCTTGAGACCACATCCACATAACTTTTATTATATTGTTAGTTATTTTTAATTATTGTTATTAATCTCCTATTGTGCCTAATTTATATATTAAACTTTATCATGGGTATGGATGCACATAAAAAACAGCAATATATAGGATTCAATAGGACCTATAGTTTCAGGCATTCAGTGACAGTTGTAGAACACATTCCGCGCAGATAAGGGAGGTCACTACTGCGGAACTGTGGTACTGCTAGTGATTTTATGAAACATGTAAGCATAAGTTCATTACATGCACCACTAGTCATGCCCCTGAATTTACACATTGAAATGCAGGACACAACACAGTATTCTATTCTTTTACTATTTTTGTTTGCTTTTTGCATTTCTATTAGAGAATAACACTGAGTTCTGGGGACCTTTTAATATTACATATAAAAGTTTTACTATCAATGATTTTTAATTTTGTTTTTGTTTTTTTGGTGGTGCTGGGGAAGGAGGTGGAACACTACCAATGAAATTTACTCCTCATTATTAAAGAGAGTATTTTTCCTGACATGGGCTCACTGTGACCAAAAATCATTTATAAGGAAAATATTCAGTGAAGCAACAGCGCAAGATTTCATCAGTTTAGTTACTGTCAAAATAAAGATGAGGTTTAAAAAATTAGTAATATTAATATTAATATTATTAAATACTTTAATAGGCAGTCAAAAGCTTAAATTTTTTAAAAAACTGATATTGAAAAAATGTAAACACAGTTAGGCACAGGGGTGCCCACCTATAATTCCAGTGACCTGGGAGACTGAGGTAGGAGGATCACAAGTTTGAAACCAGCCTCAGCAACTTACCAAGACCCTGTCTCAAATAAAGAATAAAAAAGGGCTGGGTATGTATCTCAATGTTAAAGTGCCCCTAGATTCTATCCCCAGCACCAAAATGATAGAAACAAGAAAACTATTATGATCTTATTTCAGCTAATTATGGCTGAGTTACAAATTACCCCAAAACATAGTGGCACAAAACAACAGCTAATTTTTTTGGTTCACAGGTTCAGGGTGAGGAATTCAGGCAGCACACAGCACCCAAGTCTTATCTTTGTTCCACAATGACTGGGGCCTAAAGAGGAAGACTCATAAGGCTGGGGCCAAATTACTTGGTGACTCCTTCAGTCACCTCTGGCCCTGGACTCAGTAAAGACTATCAACTCTGGCACAGACACACAGCCTCTCCATGCAGCATTTTACTTTTTGCAGTTGCCCAGGCTGGCTTCAAATTTGTGGTCACCCTACCTCAGCCTCCTGAGCAGCTGGCATTAAAGATATACACCATCACACCTGGCCCAGCTAGTAATTCTCAATCACAGACATGAACCTCAAAATAAATTCCCAGTGGGACATTGTAACACATCTATAATACCAGCTRTCTGGAAGACTGAGGAAGGAGGCCAGCATGAGCAATTTAGCAAGACCCTATCTCAAAAATTAAAAAATAAAAAGGGCTAGGAATAGGGGCTAGAGCTGTGGCTCAGTGGTAGTGCACTTGCCTGGCATGTGTGAGCCACTGGGTTCAATTCTCAGCACCGATATAAATAAATTAAAAAAAAAAAAGGATCTATCAACAACAAAAAATTTTTTTTTTTAAAAAAAGGGCTATGAATAGAGCTCAGTAGTAGAGAGTAAAGCACCCTTCAGTTCAATCTGTATTGAAAAAAAGAAAAGAAAGTATCTAGGTTTTATATATAAATGACCTAAATTGTTCAATAAATAATTTGAAGACTGGGATGTAGTTCAGGGGTAGTGTACTTGCCTAGTATGAGCAAATTACTGGGTTCCAACCCCAGTAGCATATAGATATCAACACATATATGTTTTATATGTGTGTATGTGTGTATATGTTTTTTGTTTTGTGTTTTCAAATATTGTAAGGTGAGCATGTACTACCAGTTACTCAGAAGGCTGGGGTGGGAGGATCACTTGAACCCAGGAATTCAAGATCAGCCTGGGCAAGATAGCAAGAGAGAGAGAAAATAAAGAACAATTCATATCACAACATTTTGTATACAAAACAAAAATAAATTGGCTAGATGTAGCGTGCTCATGATTAATCCCAGCATCTCGGGAGGATAATACAGGAATACGCCAAGTTTAAGGCAGCCTGGGCAATGTAACAAGACCCTACCTGTAATCTCAGCTACTGGGGAGGAGGATTTCAAGTTCAAGGCCAGCCTGAGCAACTTAGCRAGATCCAGTCTCAAAATAAAAGAAAAAAGACTGGGAGTACAGTTCAGTGATAGAGAACCTGCCCAGCATTTAAGAAGCCCCAAGTTCCATCCCCAGTACTGAAAATTTAAAAAAAAAAAGGGGGGGGGGAAGAAAAACTAAAACCACTGCCACCCAAAAAATTACTTCCGTTGAAACTGCAAGGAAAACAAATGAAGTAAAAAGCTTCAGATAACAGAAAGCATATCACGAAAAAACATAAGACTTAAACAGTTTTTTAGTCTAAGAGAAGATAATTAACTTACTAGCATGCTTGTCCGCAAGCATTATGAGAGTGTTGGATATATCTCGTCGTCTATAAAAGCACACTACCTTTGCTTCCACGTTGCCACTTGCAGTCTAAGAAATAAGAAAAATTAAAAAGTTACCTGGGGGTTGATGGTACACTTTAGTGATATGGCATGTGCTCAGCCAGATGTGGTGGTGTACATATGCAATACCAGCAACTAAGGAGACTCAGGCAAGATGATCACAATTTCAAGGCCAGCCTCAGCAATTTAGCAAGGCTCTAAGCAATTTAGCAAGACTATATCTCAAAATACAGAATAAACAGGGCACAGTGGCACATGCCTGTAATCCCAGCAGCTTGGGAAGCTGAGGCAAGATGATCACAAGTTCAAAGCCAGCTTCAGCAACTTACTGAGGCCCCAAGCAACTAGTGAGACTCTAAGCGCTGAGGATTATTAGCTCAGTGGCTAAGTGCCTCCGTGTTCAATCCTGGGTACCAAAAATTGTTTTTAGAAAAATGGGTTGGGGATGTAGCTTAGTAGTAAGTGCCTCAGGTTCAATCCCCAGTAGCAGGAAAAAAAGAATTTAAAAAACCATGTGCTTAGAATTCATAAGGTCCTGGATTTGTTTCCCAGGATTGGAAAAAAAAAAAAGTTACCAAACTGTCATATAGTTTATAAAACTAAACTAGATTCAGCACAATTGYAAGATCATTCTCATCAACACTATGCCAAACACAACTACAAGATAACCAAGGAGCGAAAAAGTTTAAAGAAAGGTCAGATGTGGTATAGTACATGCCTATAACCCCAGCTACTCAGGAGGCCTGGCAGGAGGATCACAAGTTCAAGGCCAGTCTAGGAAAATTAACTAGACCCTGTCTCAAAATAAAAATATAAAAAGGCAARAGGGGATGCCTCAGTGGTAGAGCGCTTGTCTCACACGTGCAAGGCCCAGGGTTCAACTCCCTGTGTGTGTGTGGGAGGGKGATCAAATGAGGATGAGGAATATAATACTCATTCAGGTTCTCCATGTAACCGTGATGTCAAATATATAATACCTCACCAGCAACAATTCCACTAATATGATTAAATTACTTCAATGATTAAAGCAAGACATTGTTAACTCTGAATAGCCTTAAGAAGTTAATCCCCGCCAAACTTTAAAACCACATAATTTATTTGTAACATGTAAACCTATCTTCTCCAAACCAATTCCCAGAAAGTACAGGCCAAGTCTAAAATCAAAAAGCCCTCCCCTAAAAGCTCATGCTGAACTGGTGGTGAAGCTCTGTAAGGGGGAGTAATCATCAGGCACAGTGGACTACATGACCTGGAAATGCATCCTTCCAGCCCGAGGGAGTCTACAAGTACATCACAGTCAATATTCTCAGCACTACTTAGTTTACCTTCACACATGAAAGTATAAAAACCTTGAATTATGAGCACTGAAGCTCTTATTTCTTTTTGACTACAGTCTAAGATACAATCGATATTTGGTTAGGCTGTAATTTACTGCAGCTGAGGCCCAGACTCCTATACTCTTATTCTCTATGAATTCTGAGAGCTTTAAAGAAGGTTAATCCTTCATTACGAAGTTCCATGGAAAAATACATAGATTACAATAAACTGCCATTGTAATTTCCAATTTCTAACAAATTTGAGAACATGCTTTCTGAATTTCTCTGGGCTTACAGATATATACTCAAATATAAAGAAATAAGAATATCTATGCGCCTCAGTAAATGTCCCAATTTTATGAAGTTCAGCAGCAGTATTTTAGAGAAATAGTACTGCAGAAATATTGCCTCTTAAAACTGAAAWTGTATTAAATTCCTAACCAAAATGTTTCTATATTTCACAGTATTGTGATCAAATGCATCCTCCAGAAATAATGATCCAGCAATCTGCTAAATGAGCAGGCAAATATTGCCGTGTAAATAAAATCTATCTGTGACTTCGGCTATAAGCTTTTTATCAGTTTTTTCCTCATTAGTGACTTCATCCAATAGGGATACTCTAAAATGATAATTTTATCTAAACCTGCTTGAAAGATGGGATGTAGTTCAATAAATATTCTCAGGACTAAAGATGTAGACAGAATACATGCTTAGCATGTGTGAGACCCCAGGCTCAATCACCAAAAAAGGTAAATAAATAATTCTTTTCTGAACCATGCACACACAATATAATACTCCTCTACYCCTCTACAAAACACATACACACACACACACTCTAGAGCTCTCTTCTGAAGCTTCAGTATTTAGAATACTGGACCACAGCCCAATGTCAGTCCACAACTGTTACTGGGGTATAATAAAACTATTACAGGGGGTGGAAGCGGTGGAGCATGCAACTCAGGAGGCTGAGGCAGGAGGATTGTGAGTTCAAGGCCAGCCTCAGAAACCTAGCAAGGCCCTCAGCAATGTAGTGAGATACTGTCTCAAAAATAAAAAATATAGGGATGGGTATATAGCTCAGTTGTTAAGAGCGCTTGCATTGCATGCACAAGGCCCTGGGTTCAATCCCCAGCAACAATAAAAACAAAAAAAAAAAAAAAAAAGGATAAATAAAAATAAAAACTATAAAAAGGGCTGGGGATGTGGCTCAGTGGTAACGTCCCCTGGGTTCAATTCCTAATGCACGTGTACACACATACAAATACAAAGAAATCAAAGTATTCTGCAAATAGTAAAGCTATGTACAAGCATTAACATCACACATTTGAGAAATTCACTAATTCAACAAATATTTAGTGAATGACTTCAGCTATGTGCCAACCATTATTCTAAGGCACTTAAAATTCACTACACACTCTAGTTTGGGAAGATAAGCAATGGAAATAAAGACAAGTGTGTATAGACGTGTATGTGTACACATTTAGGGGTGAGGAAGTTTACCAGAAACTGAACCAGTGCCTCAGGCAAGCTAAATAAGCACTCTTCCACTGAACATCCCTAGCCCTGAATTAAGTATATTTGAAGATGGTAAATGACACCTACTTGAACTCTGAATCTTTTTTCTGTGTATGTGTGCTAGGGTTTGAACCCAGGGGATGCTTTTCCACTGAGCTACATCCCCAGTACTTTCTAGTTTGAGACAAGGCCTTACTGAATTGCTGAGGCTGGCCTTGAACTTGAGATCCTCAACTTCCTCAGTCACTAGATTACAGGTGTGCACCACCATACCCAGCTGRTGAATAGTTTAGAATTGCCTCAGTTCTTACACCAATACCATAAAAAGGAAGTGCATCACAACCACATCCAATAATTCTCACTCAAAGACTGGTCTAAACTTGAGGTCATCCTCTTTATTTGATAGTGGTCCCAAATCACACAATTTTTTTTTTTAATACAAAGTCTTTGGATATCCCAGAAGCAAACTGGGGTCTTAAAGTTCTTTAAACAAGTAATAACCTACTAGGCCAAAYCTGTCTTCCTGGGACTCAGAACCAAACCAGTCTCCAGATGGTTTTTTTTTTTCCCTCCTGGTCTTTCAGTACTAGGGACTAACCCAAGGGCCTTGTGCAGGCTGGGCAAGTGCTTTACCACTGAGCTACATTCCCAGCCTCCAGATGGCATTTTTGAAGAAAGGTATTAGCCAAATAATCCAAAAGATCCTAACACTATGAAGTCTCATAAGCCACACAAATGGGCCTCAAAATGGTCTGGAGAAAACCAGAAAAAAATCAATAGAAAATCTGTTCTCTGCATAGTTAGGACTGCTTTCCAGTGCCTCCACTGCAAAAKCTCATCTACTGAAACAATCACAATGCTTCTTAACATCTGGAATCAGGGACAAATCTTAAAATTTTATTTTACATGGGCCATAGTATAAAAGCTACTTCGTATTTTCAAAACTGTATTCTTGCTAGTCTAGTCTAGGATTTTACACATTCCCTTCACTATTTTCCAACTTGCTCATTCTAAAGTTGGAAGAGAGAAATATGAATTAACTAAAAAGGRAGAAACAAATGACTCTAAATATAAAAAGGGACTGAGTTATGGAAGCAACCTGCTTTTCAAGGCTCCAAGCAATTGGAAGAAATCCTTTTTTTTTTTTTTTTTTTGAGACAAGGGTCTGGCTAGAATTACCCAGGCTGGCTCAGAACTTTTGATCCTCCTGCCTCAGCCTGCAGAGTACCTGGGATTACAGGCATGCATCACAGAAGAATCCTGCATAACTCTCTAATCTGAAATCTCTACTTCAAGAGAGTCTAGGACCTCTTATGCCCTTTACCCAATTACCCTTCAGTGGAAAACACATAGTTTTTAATATTAGAATCAAGAACATTCAGTCTATACCTTGTTAAGTTCTTCTATTCTTCTGATTAGGTATGGGTTGCTGGAAGAATTCTCAAAGTAGACATAATCTGTAATTAAAAGAAGTTACAGAATTTAATCTTTTCAATATAAAGCTCACATTTGGCAATGTACCACTTATTAAGTTAGTAAGAACTTAATCCATTCACTGGTAATGCAACCTTAATAGTCTCTCGTGCACTCTACATATCTTATTTTCCTGGCATTTTCATTTGAACTCGTGTTTCAGCAAGTTCTCCCTGACTTTTGTCCTACAGTGTCATTTCTCCAATAAACTAAAACACCTCTTCTCATCACTGAGTAGTGAGGGCTTGCCAAATATGTCCTGTGTACACAGCTTCCACATCTTTTCCCTCCAATCCAATTTGCTCTGGAGTATGCTCCTCATATAAAATTGTTGACCTCAGACAAATTCAGAACAAGGAAAAAAAGCTTAACAGCCCAACCTACATTTCAATCACTAACTTTGAAAGGAAAAAAAAAAAATCACGTGAGTTGAAGCAGGTAAGAGACACATTGACAAACTTTTCTAAAGCTCTACTTGGGAAGATTACCAAGGAGAGGAGAGGGTCATTTGCAGAGGCAGAGCCTTTTGGGGATGCTATTGGAATCTTTTCATCCTTTTACCATATTTAATTCAGACCCATTTAGACTGTGGGTTACAAAGAAGTCCTTGCAGGTTTTCAACAAGGAGGACAAAAATTTTCTAGTGTGGCTTCTCCTCTCATCTAGTAGGCTCACAGAAAACTTCCCACTGTGTGTTTATTCGAGGCTGGAATGAACTATTACTGTCTACCTTAGTGGCTCTTACCGTCTCTCCTGTGCAAAGTGGCCTCATTTAGCCAGGCCATTCCCACCACCATCCATCAGGAGCTCGGCTAATGAGCACAGAAGAGCAAGTCTCACACACAAGCACGCCACTTATCTGAATTATTATTTTACCAGGAAAGAGGGAGGAGGGCGTCGTGAGCAGGGAGAAAGTTTGTTTGACCTTATTTCTCTCTTCTGCAGAAGGCTGGGAAGGCAGGCAGCAGAGGAAAAGTCCAGGCTGCGCTCAACTCCCCTCTCTGCCTGAGGCTCCCTGGCCCCCCTACACCCCACTCTTGGGGGGTCTGGTCAAGAAACGAGGTGGGGGGGGGGGATGTGCAGGGCCCTGGCCCTGCAGACAGGCCTGTCCAGCTAAGCCCTGGCAGGGCCCCCCTCGCGCCCAGCCCCACTCCCACTGAAGGGGGTAGTGGGGGAGGGGATGTCCCCGTGCTCCCCAGCCCCCAGTGCCTAGAAGCCAGGCGGGGAAAGGGCCACCCGGGTAGGGGGCTCGACGGGCCCTGCTCCCACGGGGTTTCACCGAGGTGGGGGATGTCCGATTCATGCCTCCAAGCGGAGGCCCGGCCCTTGGGGCCCGGGCAGCGCTGGGGCGGCCGGTGGGCCCCGGCCGGTGCGGCCCCCGGGGAGAGGGGAGGTGGGGGCGGGGAGCCCCGACCCCTGAGGGCCCCGGCGCCCCCCGCCCCTGCGCCCCGCGCTCCGGCGCCCGAGGCTCCCGGAGGTTAGCTGCGCTCGCCCGGACCCCCCACTCCCTCAGCCCGCTCCCAGACGGGCCGGGTCGGGCCGAGCCTTCCTACCTCCGACCCGGTACATGTTGGCCGCCATGTCCGCCCGCCCGCCCGCGGAGCCCGAGCAGAGCCCCGCCCGCCGCCGCCGCCGCCGCCGCCGCCGCCTCAGCCTCGACCGCCGCCGCCGCCTCCTCGCCGCCTCGCCGCCTCGCCGCGGGGGGAGGGGAGGGAGGGGACGGAGGGAGGGGAAGTGAGGGGAGGGGACGCCGAGGGGTGGGGGCTGGTGCCCGCCCCCAGCGCCGGGCCGCAGAAGCCTAGTGGGCCGCGCGGGGGGAGGCCGGAGAGGCCCGAGCGCCGCGGCGCCCGCGGGAATTGGGGTGGGGAGAGGCAGCGGAGGCTGGGGGTCTGGCTGGAAGCAGAGGACCCCCGGGCCGGGGTGCTGGCCAAAGCAGAAGCCTCGCTCGCAGACGCGGGCCGGGGGCTGTTGGAGAACGGCGACGGGACCTGAACTCGGCCTCTCCGGGYGCCTTCTGGCCCACTTTGAGTACTSGGCCACCTGCCCGCCCCGAGACAGGTTCTCCTTCTCAGACCCTGGGGAACCCCACTGTGTGAGACCTCAAGCGCCTGAGCGCYAGTCTAGGTGCAAACACTTGGATGCAAATAAGTGCAGCAGCAGGGCGCCTACCTCGTGGTGAGGTTTCTGTGATGACTTACAGCCCGCAGGCTTTGGGCAGGAAGACCCCTGTGCTTGCAGCTTTCCGCTGTCAGACCCACACGGGGACAGGGCTAGAAAAACATCTCCCTTCTAAGGACCCCCCTGAGTGCACTGGGCTGAACGGAGCACTGCATGGTTCCCCCCCATGCTGGGCTGCACTGAACCAACTCCCCCACACCCTGAGGCCCTGCCTCCAAACAAGGCCAGCACGTGCTTGGAGGGSAAATTAGGCCTCCAGGAGCAAGCAGGGAGAGGGGGTTCCTTTGTCTRCTGGGAAACTTGGCCCTACAGTGCACCTTCACACACACACCCCAAAGGAGAAGATATTGTCAATAATTTTGCTATTAGATGGACAATAAGCTGGTTCAGTGCCTAAAGCTTTTAACTAGTTATCTGCCTGGTTATTCCCCCCTGGGTGTGATGGCACATGCCTGTAATCCCAGCAACCAGGAAGGCTGAGGCAGGAAGATGCAAAGTAGACTCCAGYCTCAGCAATTTAGCCAAGACCCTCTCTTAAAATAAAGAAGGGCTGACTGACATGTAGATCAGTGGTAAAGCACCCCTGGATTCAATGGGGGGGGGGCTATTCCCAGACAGGGATGCATAGTAAACATGAATATGATGTCTGGCTGTTGTGATTTGTTTGGATTGTCTGGTGACATAGCCTTGTGCTTTTGACTCTGGGTTTGAAACGGCAGGGTAAGAGACTTGCCCAAAAGAGAAGATTGTGTTTTGGTTGCCTCTCTTGATGGTCYCTTACCACAAGTATTGAGGTGAAAAAAATAAGAAAAAGTGCAGCACCTTTGCTTGAATTACATGGACTGTGACCTGTTTCCTCATCTGTAAATTGGGACACTCACTCCACTTCACAGGTGTGCTAGGAATCCGTTGTGATGATATCTGAAAATGTTTTGTAAGTCAAAAAGCATAAAGTACTATGCAAATAGCAGGTGTTTGTAGCTTTTTTTTTAACCCCAAAAAGCCTCAGATTCCTAAGGGTTTTATGCAATGTATCCAAGAGCCTGTGTCAGCTCTTCTGACCCAGAGAAGAAATATTCTCTTACTCTCTTATGCACACTGTATAGCTGCTGTTATGAACAGAAATATATATATTTTTTTTTCTTTTTTCTTTTTTTTTAAAGATTGAACCCAGGGAAACTCTACCACTGAGCTTTACCCCCCAACCTGTTTGATTTTTTATTTTGAGACAGGATACAGGGTCTCACTAAATTGCTGAGGCTGGCTGGCCTCCAGAGTCACTGGAATTGCAGGCCTATGCCGCCACACCCAGCCACCATACTTCTTTGACTGGAGATCCCAGCAAAAACATATTGTGACATATCTGACATCACTCCATTTCTGAGTTGCCACACACGTAGGCTGAATGATTCACCTGAAGTTATACACTAAACTCGAAGCAGTCCTAAGTTTATAGTCCAGCCCTTCCCTCTGACCTAGAATACTCTCAACCACAAAGTCTTTCCCCTAATGAAAAAGCTACCTGGAAACTATAAAATACAAAAACAAACAAAAAAACCCCGAAAGCTATAGGAACTTTCCCATTATTTTTTAAATAAACAAGCAGTTTGTCCTCCCTCAAAATATTTTGTTTTTCTTAGCTCTTCGCCTGCCTAATTTCCCATCTTTGCAATCCTTACCAGGTGTTTGTGGTCACTATACTAACCACAATAAATGTGTCAAAGGTGCCAAGAAAACTCCTCAAATCCACATTCAACTCTTTCCCTTAGGAACAGCCTAATACCCTGTTAAATACCAGAAATACCCCTTTAAAGGCTTCAGAAACTTGCAGGGAGAACAGAAGGGAATGATAGTGGGTGGCATGACTGGACCTACTTTTGCTTCTTCCCCTAGACTCTGTAGGGTTTTGTTTATTACAATACTAGGGATTGAACCCCAAGGACACTCTGCCACTGAGCTGTGTTCCCAGCCCTTTTTTAATACCTTGAGACAAGGTTTCACTAAATTGCCAAACTGGCCTTGAATTTGCTGTCCTCCTGCCTCTGCCTGGGATTACAGGTGTGTGCCACCGTGCCAGTAAAGCTCAATATCTTAAAGAATAAATGTAAATCCCAGGGACTAGATTCAAGAGACTAGGGTAAGAGTATCACAAGTTTGAAGCCAGCCTGAGTAATTCAGTGAGACCCTGTCTCAAAAAGGCTAGCATTTGACCCAGTTTTCCCACTCTTCCATATATACCCAAAGGACTTAAAATCAGCATAACTGAGGCATCCTCATCAATGTTTAAAGCAGCTCAGTTCACAATAGCTAAACCATCCTAGGTGTCCTTCAAAGGATGAATGGATAAAGAAAATGTGGTATATATACACAATGGAATATTACACAGCCATAAAGAAGAATGAAATTATGTTGTGTGCCGGCAAATGAATGGAACTGGAGACTATTGTGCTAAGTGAACTAAGACAGTCCCCCAAATCCAAAAGTCAAATGTTCTCTCTGATTTGTGAATGCTAGCATAAAATGGCAGGGGGTGGGTGGTGGATTCAAGTACTTTGGATTAGACAAAGGGGAATGAAGGGAAGGGAGGGAATGGGAAAGACAGTAGATGAATCAGAGATTACTTTCCTAGGTTCATGTATGAATAAATGGCCAGTGTAACTTCACATCACGTACAATCACAAAAATGGGAAAGTATACTCCATCTATGTATAATATGTCAAAATATATTCCACTGTCATATAGAACTTAAAAAATTAAAAATAAAAAGGTTAGGGCTARAGATGTCAGTGGCAGAGTACTTGCCTAGCATGCTCAAATCCCATGGTTCATTCCCCTAGCACCACAAAAAAATGGCAGGGGGGGGCTTGGATGTAGCTCAGTAGTGAGCATCCCTGGTTCTAATCTCCAGTTCCAAGGGGTGGGGAGAAGCATGTAGAAGAGATTATTTGAAGGCCCCAAACATCCCCTCTGTCAGTCTGTAGTATCCTACCATTTAACTGTAAACAGTGGGTGCTGAGGAAAGTCATAGGGGAGACAGAGTTGGTTTTCTTCTCCGTTTAGCAATGAGGATTTTTAGACATGCAAAATAAATAAGAGGGTGCTGGCCACAGTCTGGGAGTTTTGTAACCCTGAACCCAAGAATGGAGCCTGGGAGACTAGAAAGCAATTAATCTGAAGCCAGAGGCCAGATTTGGATGCRGGACTGTATCTTGTTGTTTGTGTTTTCTGGGCAGTTTGTTTCTCTTCTCCCTCTCATTAACTTATTGCTTAGCAAACTTTTTTTTGAAAACGCCGGTCTACTCAGATATTCTAGGGAGGCCCTGGGTTTTAAAGGTGGACAAATGAATCCTAGCAGAAAGGAAGGCATGTGACAGCAAGAAGCAAAACAAAAGAGCCCCGAGGGAAAGAAAACCCAGAGTAGGGTGTTGTCTAGCTTTTCTAGTTGAGGAGCTTCTGCTTCCTTGGATCTCCTAGGCTAAAGACATGAAATCCAGGACTAACCCCAGGAAGTCCTGGTTTGGGGAAGTATATATTTTAGGACACCTTAGTTCTCATGCCCTCAAAGAGGAACTCACTCAGCCATTTGATTACATCCATAAGGAGATTCCTTCTCCAGTGACAATGCTATTTCCCCTTCCATGTAGCAGGAAAAGGACTGGAAGTTACAATGGAGACAAGGATGAGCCCCTGATGGCCAGCCTAATTGACCCTAGTGTTCACCCCACCCCCATYTTTTGTTTGTTTTGTTTTCTTTTTGTATTGGGGTCCTTTACCACTGAGCCACATCCCCAGCCCTTTTTATTTTGAGACAGGTTCTCACTATGTTGTTAGGGCTGGCCTTGAACTTGGGATCCTCCTGCCTCAGCCTTCCAAGTTGCGGGCATTATAGGCATGTGCCCTTGCCCCCAGGGAGGGTTTCCTTTTTATTATTTTATTTTGTTGAGTTTTATGTTTGTTTGTTTGTGGTGCTGGGGATTGAACCCAGGGCCTTGTGCATGCAAAGCAAGCACTCTACTTGTTGGGGTTTTTTAAAAGATTTTTTAAAATTATTTTTGCCTATTGTGGCTTTGAATGAAAGATGGCTGTGCAGTAGAGGATGTGGGGGTTCAAGAAAACGAATCCTAAGGGGCAATTACAGGGATGATCCCAAAGACGAGTCAGGGTGTAGAACAGAGAATGAATCAGAGAGAGGAGAAGAGTGGTGGCCACGGGCTGGGATTGGTGACTTTGGAGAGCATGGAGCTGAAGCATGGTGATTAGGCTGGTGTGCGACTGGATGGACAGACCCGGCAAGAGACTGGAGAGTGGTGAGTTGCGGGAGGTGGATAGAGATGAGGCTCATAGTCAGACAGACGGTGTTTGAGGCGCCTTTGGAAACATCCACGTAAGATGTTTGGTCTCTTAAAAAGTTGGATGAACAAGCCTGGAAACTCAAGAGAGGTCTGAGCCGGAAACACTGTCTTCTGTGTCACCATCAGCCCACAGCCCAGCCCGTCTGGTCAGAAGATCGAGCCAAACCCTTGCTCTAGGGCAAGAAGCAGGTTTCCGGAGTCCTTAGGTTTGAACAGAAAACAGGTTTAACAGGTTGGGGATCTCAGTCCAGGTCCAAATGTGCAATCAGG